GGGGGGGGGGGGGGGTCACGCGCGCTTAAATAGGTGGCAGCAAACTCCACGGGAGTTCAACTCCCGTGGAGTTGCAGTGCCAATTTTCCAGAGATCGATTCTCTGGAAAACTGGCACTGCAACTTCACGGGAGTTGAACTCCCGTGAAGCTGCAGTCACAATTTCCAGAGATCGATTCTCTGGATTTGCTGACTGCAGGGGGGGGGGGGGGGTCACGCGCGCTTAAATAGGTGGCAGCAAACTCCACGGGAGTTCAACTCCCGTGGAGTTGCAGTGCCAATTTTCCAGAGATCGATTCTCTGGAAAACTGGCACTGCAACTTCACGGGAGTTGAACTCCCGTGAAGCTGCAGTCACAATTTCCAGAGATCGATTCTCTGGATTTGCTGACTGCAACTCCACGGGAGTTGAACTCCCGTGGAGTTTTAAGCACAAATTAAGCTTCACGGGAGTTGAACTCCCGTGAAGTTTAATTTCTCCATAAACTTCACGGGAGTTGAACTCCCGTGATGTTTCGGAGAATTTTTTACAAAAACCGACCTGTTTTCAGCGCTGGGCTGAAAACAGGTCGGTTTTTGCAATTATTATCGAAAACGGTCGTTTTTTGCAATTAAATGTTTAAAACGGTTGGTTTTGAAAATTTGTCCGCTGTTTGTTATTTCATCACCATGTTTTCAGTCATTTGTTTCATTACCAAGCATGTCAGATGCTATGTTGAAATTTTAGCATAAGGTAGACTTTTATCCTCACATTCTTTTATTGTTTCTGAGGAACTTTGGGCATAGTAGCCTTATGACAAGGTACTACATCTTTTGTTATGTCACTTGGTTGAGTGGTTGAACAAATGTATTATGTTGTATGTGAAAAAGAGCCGGCTAATGTTTATCAAAATAAGTTGATTCCATAGTGGTTGCTTCAAATGTGTATTTTGCCTTATTTAATGAAGTGTATTTATGATTCCCGCTGTTGTGCTTGTGCTTAGCTATCCTGTGCCTTTGTGTGGAAAGTATGTTGACAAAATCTTGCTTTTGCACAGACATATATACAGTGATATTAGCAATAAACCAGGTGAATGGTCTACAGGTTGACCCAACAAATGTGAAAAAGAAGGCTGAGCTTGTGGATGACCCCTTTGATGCTGAGATTTTTTTTTTCAGAATATGTTGAGCTTGTGGATATAAGCAGCAATCATACATTAACAAATGAATAACAAATCAACCAACAAATGAGATTTTTTGCCAATGAGGCATAACAGATCAACCAACACATATGAAGGATATAAGCAGCAATTATACATTAAAAAAAAATAAAATAACACAACCATATGAAGGATATAAGCAGCAATTCCTGTCCTTTAACAACATCTAATTATTGAACACAAAACATTACACCATTCATACATCTATGCTTGTACAACATAAGACTCATTTCAACCACATGAAGATCTCAGATAGCAATTGACATCCACATGAAGATCTACCTGCAAATTTCATGACAAATATATTCACCAAATTAGTGCTATGATGTTTCATAATGTAAGAATATGTTCACCAAATTGAATTACATGAATGCTAATTGAATTAGTGCTATGAAGGTTCCAAGAATAAAATAAATTTGTTTACACAAGTAATTAGCAAGAATACCTTGGCAAGTTGACTTTACTCTGTACCACAAATGCAAGGAAGAAAAACTTAAAAATGACATAAGCGCAACAATTTCATCTTAAAAGTCATAAATGTTGAATATATCAAAAAGTAAGTTGAGTGTTTGGGTGTTCTGAAAAACAAATGTGCCAATGCAAGGCTGAATTTGAAGAACGATGAAATGACCCTTGCAAGTCATTGATTTGAACCATTATAAACCAGATGAAAGGTCTACAGGTTGACCCAATTTGTCTAAAAAAGCTAATTGATGGTTGAGAGATAAGAGGTCAGTGTCACTGAAATAATTTTGAGATCATATAAGCCTTGAACACGTCACATTTGCTGAGAAATTGCTAAAAAAAGAATAGCAAAGTCTTATCATATAAGATGATTCTAATAAGCATATATAAAGTGAATAGCAAAGTCTTATCCGATCCACATCCAATTCTTTCTCACAATGGATGAACGTGTTCAAAACTCAGGTCCCGGAAACCTAGCAAAACTCAGGTCCCGAGAAACCTAGCAAAACTCAGGTCCCTGGAACGAAATTGATTTCTTGTCAATAAAAATTGCCTTATTTATTGAGAAATTTCCAATTAGGACTTATTCAAGTTTTTTTTAATTTTATTTGAATATTAAAGACTCTCCTCTTCTGTAATTAGGCTCATATATAACCAGATTAATCAAATAATTTCCTTGAATCAAACAAATAATTTCCACATTAATCTCCAACTCATTATCCAGTTTATGCGGCATTCAAGTCTGTATGATATAATCTTCATGATTTTAACTCGATAGAAAGGTCAGTAACTAGGCAAAAGCAAGGATTTAAGTTTTTAAAAATATGTAATATACCATTCAATTCCCACAGAACTCACCAAAACTAAATTCTCAACCAAGTAATATGTATTAGCTTTGCTTTATCCAGCTTATTTTGTCATTCGGGACAGGAAACCTTAATCAATGGATCAAAAAGGAAAATTTTTAATTCCATAACAATGCTAGGGCTGAAGATTCAAATAACCAAATATACCAGAAATTGGGGCGTGATCCTTAGCGGGAGAGGAGGATGCGCCAGAACTGAAACAGAGCAGGAGGAAGATGAGGAGAAGAGGATCATGCGCCTGGCTCCGCGATCAGAGGGTCCGAGCTCTCGTGGCCCACAAGCGCTGGCTGGTGGAGGTGCCCTACACAGCCACCCTCTCCCACACAGTCAACGTCCTCGTCGCCAACAACATCGTGGCCGTGCCCGTTGCTGCTCCACCCGGCCGCTGGATCGGCGCCGGTGGGTCGATGATACTGGAGTCCGACCGGGGCAGGATTTGGAGAAGAAGATGTCAATGCCGGTGTGGGAGGTGATTGGGCACTCTCCCGAAGGGCTCAACTTGTGGACTCTGCATTATTGTCGAACAAGGAAGCGTTGCTGGTGGGGGATTGGCCCTTGACTGATGGGGGTTTGCGGAAGCCAAGAGGATTGTTTCAGCAGAAGCTGTGGACATATTTGGAGGTGCATCAGTATGTGGGAGAAGAATGGGAGTTAATTGAGCGGCAAGACCCTGAGTAACAACGGAATAGGTCTCTTTGGCATTTCGTCGAATGGATTGTGAGCGATCCTGCAAGGCAGGATTCGGGCCTGAAGCTTGGGGCTGGTGGGTGTCCAAAGAGATTTTGGAGCATTCAACATTTGTGTGACCCTGCATGTGGCAACCTATACACAATTTGATGAATCATGATTTATGTTTGATAATTTATAAAATTTTGGATTTATTGATTAATTATTTGATTATTAATTTTTAATTTTCGATTCCTACTTTTAGAATTTCTTTTTGTTTTTGATATATATATTATTGATATATATTTATGTTTTAGACCATTGTGACACTTTGTCTTAATGATACATATATATGTGGTTGCTTGGCCTTTTTCTATGTGGATTGTGTTTAGGGCGTGTTTGGTTCAATAGAGACTAGGAATAGGATTAGGAATCCTATTTTATTTATGGATTCCAACCTAATCCATATAAAATTTATAGACAAGTTTTTGTTTTATGGAATCCCATTTTTTTGCATTCTATGTTTGTTTCACCCAAAGGATTAGGAATCTCACTTTTATAGAATTGGTCCAATTCCTAATACAATGTTTGGTTCAGAAAGAATTTTTTTAGGGATCAACACTGTAGCAACGGCTAGCTCACTGTTCATTTAAAAATCACTGTAGCAACGGAATGGTCCACCAATTTTAGAATTCAAAGAAAAACACTATAGCAACGGCTATTTCCACACAACTTCAAAATTCAAAGACATAACACTGTAGCAACAACTAGTACTTGGTCATGGTGGCTATAAATTCAACTTGAGGCCTCAAATTAATCCATGCATTCTCATTTTTCAGCAATTTTAAAATTCTCATTGTTTTCAATTTGGATCCCAGACATCAATATGATATCAGAAGAGTGCTACCAGAATTATGAAGTTTGTTGCGACTGTAATATCCGAACACCGATGAAAGTGTGCAAGAATGATAAAAATAAGGGAAGATGTTATTAGGGGTGTGCAAAATTTCCAAATAAAGAATATAATTTTTTCGAATGGGCTGATGAAAGAGGAGACTCAAGCAACTAAGGAAGACAATATGTCAAAGAAAATATGTACGGAGATAAATATATTTTGCAATCAAAGAGGCTGAAGAAAGAATTGATACTTGTCGAAAATCAACTACTAGCTTGGAAAATTTCTGCAATTTTATTAGCAATTTTTGTATTATTTTAATTATTACAAACTTCATATGTACCTGTACTTGCAAAAACTATTGAGGATGTAATGAAAACTATTTTTTGAATTAGGTATAAATTCTAATTGATATTGTATGGCTCAGTAATAGATCAACTTGCCATAATTGATTGCCCCACCTATAACTTACATGTTTATTACAGATTGAATTATAAGGATGAATTGCCTCGCCTAGACATTGTCAATTCAATGTAGGCTACAATCTCATCCTCTTTTGCCTCATCTTGATATAATAAACAATGTAAGTTAGATTGCATTCTCAGTAAACGCTGATCATCATCATTGCCAAATATCAAGTGCAAGGAGCTACACAAGCTCAAAACAAAATAGCAAGTAACCCACAGGCAAGGAAAAACAAAACAACTCCCACATAGCAGCCTACATAGCTACACAAGCTCAAAAACAAAACAGCAACAAACCCAAAGGCAACAAAGCAACCCAAGCTCCAGCGAAAACAGCAACAAACCCAAAGGCAATGAGCTAGGCAATGAGCTACACAAGCTCCAAACAAAACAGCAGCAAACCCAGCAGCAAGGAGGTACACAAGCCAGGACGAAAACAGTAGCAATCCCCATTTACAGGAGCTACACAAGCTCAGAACAAAACAACAACAAACCCCAGCAATTGGAGCTGCACAAGCTCCAAATAACAGGCTCAAACCCAAAGAGCAAGAAGCTACACAAGCTCAAAACAAAACAACAACAAACCCCAGCAGTAAGGAGCTACACAAGCTCCAAACAAACATCAACAAACCCAGCAGCAATGAGCTACACAAGCTAAAAACAACACAACAACAATATTGAAGAGCAAGGAGCTACACAAGCTCCAAATAACAGCCACAAATCCAAACTAAATGAGCTACACAAGCTCCAAACAACACAACAAAAAATACAAGACCAAGAAGCTACACAAGCTCAGAACAAAACAGCAACAAACCCTAGCAATTGGAGCTGCACAAGCTCCAAATAACAGCCACATAACCCACAGAGCAAGGAACTACACAAGCTCAAAACAAAACAGCAACAAACCCCAGCAACAATGAGCTACACAAGCTCAAAAAAAAAAAAAACAGCAACAACCCCAGCAGCAAGTAGCTACACAAGCTCAAAACAAAACAGCAACAAAACCCAGCAGCAAGGAGCTACACAAGCTCAAAAACAAAACAGCAACAACCCCAGCAGTAAGGAGCTACACAAGCTCCAAACAAAACAGCAACAAACCCAGCAGCAAGGAGCTACACAAGCTCAAAAACAACACAGCAACAAACACAAGAGCAAGGAGCTACACAAGCTTCAAATAACAGCCACAAATCCAAACTAAATGAGCTACACAAGCTTCAGCCAAAACAACCACAAATCCGAACTCAATAAGCTATACAAGCTTCAGCCAAAACAGCAACAAACCCAAAGGCAAGGAGCTACACAAGCTCTAAATAATAGTCACAAACCCAAGAGCAAGGAGCTACACAAGCTCCAAATAACAGCAACAAACCCAAAGGGATTGAGGAGCTACACAAGCTCCAAATAACACAGCAAAAAACACAAGAGCAAGAAGCTACACAAGCTCCAAATAACAACCACAAATCCAAACTCAAGGAGCTACACAAGCTCAAAACAAAACAGCAACAAACCAAAAGGCAAGGAGCTACACAAGCTCAAAACAAAACAACAACAAACCCAAAGAGATTGAGGAGCTACACAAGCTCCAAATAATAGCTACAAACCCAAAGGCAACGAGCTACACAAGCTCCACGAACCTGATGGCAAAAAAACCCAAAGCCAAAGAGCTAATAAAGAAAAGGAACAACAACATATACGCGTGCACCTGACAACCAAAAACCCACGGCAAAAGGAGCAACAAATTAGCTTCACCTGTCATCAAAAGCAAAGGAGCAACATTAAGAACTCATTGGTCATGCCTATCCATACTTACCTGCATCAAAAGTTAAAAAGTACCAATTCATTAATTACATGACGTCATAGCGTTTTCATAACAAGAAGTATTGCAACATTAATAGTTTGCAAATAACAAAATGATATATGCGCAACAACATATATGCGTGCACAACAAAATGCTCCATCAACATGTAATCCAAACCGAACAAATTAGTTAACAAACCAACCTTGATCATTAATCAGGTTGGTAATGTACCTCTGCTGACCTTCCTTTCCTTTTATGAAAAACCTTCTAGCTTCACATTCATTGTCATATAAGTGATCTAAAATCCTATCCAGAAATTCCTCAGAATATTCATTCCTATGTTCCTTCAACGCTGCAGCCAGCTGCTCAGTCCAATGAACAATGTGTTGATTTCTCGTAGACTGAGACATTGAGTCAACAAAGGCACATAATATTTCCTCTTCATGATTTGATTTTTTAGGTTTCTTGTTAGAAGATGAATTCATGTTGTCTTTACTCTTAGACTTACATCTAGTCGGTTGTTGTTGGTTACAAGCATCAGATTGTGGTGTAGTTCCACTCTCCTCTGGAATTTCACTATCATCTTCAGGAATAGGTATGGACCTACTATGATACGGGTGTATCTTATTCCCTGTCTCGGAGCTTAGTGATCCTCATGGGAGCTTGAGGATAGATGATTCTCATGGTATCTTGAGAATAAAATCGTGGTTGGAGCTAAAGAAGACGACAAAAGAAGTCGAAAGAAGCGAAACGCAGAAGAACAGGGTAAACTGGCTGTTCTCTGTTCGGTCAACCGCGACACATATGCCGGTCGACCGGACAACCCTGCAGGGCACAGGGAATAGAAAGTTCTCTGGCTGGTCGACCAGACCATGCTTGGCGGTCAACCGGATCGTGAATTCTGGGTTTCCTATTTCGTTTTGGATTTTGTTCTGACAGAGACTCCTCTTTCTTTTGGGCTTGTTTATTTACAAGATTGCCACCCACGTTGTACCTGATATAAATAGGTTATTGTAGGGTTTCAAAAGGGAGACCTTAGGGAGAGAGAAATTCTAATAATTGTATTAGGGTTTAGAGAGAGAGTTGAGAGGTTGTTCTCGATTCTAGTGAGATTGTGAGAGAGTGATTGTAATCTTTTCATACTCATAATCTAGAGAAGGTAATTTCCTTCGCCATACTGAATTGTTCTTATGTTTTGGTCATCCTCTTCTCAACCCACCTTTTGATAATTCCACGACCAAAGGGTGCTCGCACGGTAACTCGTATCAAGTTGGTATCAAAGCATCAGATCCGGTGAAGGGGCATC